CCCCAAAACCCCAAAACCCCAAAACCCCAAAACCCCATATATACACGCTACGATGATAATACTATAAAATATTTTTAATTAAAATGCAGGCTAGTACCACAGAGGTTGTTGCTCAGTGCTTTGAGATCAAAGATCAGAACATTGGCAATGAGCTGAACCAAGCTTTCAAGGGTAACACGTAAGTTGGAATCCTTTGCACTGGGAATCAACCCCTTTTGAAATGGTTTGAAAAATCTGAGGTGAAATTTAAACCTCAACTTCTCAAACTTTCAAGCCAGCTATTAATCTTAGAATCACCCAAACCTTTATTTATTGATGTTCTTTGCCATGAATAGTGTCTAAAATTGATTTTAGTTACAAAATGTCAACTTTGTTTAAAAAGAGGGAGAGTAAAAAGAGAACAAAGACTCTTGACGAAAAATGCATCGAATCTGGAAGTGATGAACCAGCTGTTAAAACCTCTAAACTTGCCAGGAAATCTACCATAAACAAGGTATTTACTAATTTCCATTCCTTACAAGTGTTGATTTTTGTTTGAAATTTTGCTGAATATGCTATTAATATCATTGTAGGCTTCTCAAAAGAAAAATCCAGCAAGAAGAGGTCCTAAGACAAGACGAAGGAAAACTGCCGACGAGATCAACCTCCTAGAAAGGGCCTTTTTCAAAGACCCGGAATGGACACAGATTACTGTTGATTTCATCAAGAAACATTCTATGCTTGAGTATGTTCAGATCTACAAATGGGGGTGGGATCAAAAAAAGAAAATAAAGAGAAACCCCAACCTCAAGAGGGTACCTACTATTGATGAGTTTGGAGGATACTGAAAATATGATAATTCCGACTTGAATTTGCTTTCTCTGTGAGGAGGAGAAGACCTCAATCATAAGGTTGCATTACTGGATCAAGAATCTGAAAAATTAGACGGACCTTTGCCACAAACTACAACCCCCGGAAAACTTACTTTAAAGAGAAGAAAAACTGTGGATTTTGAAAACTTCGACAGAAATTTTCAAAATCAAGATTTCAAAGAATATGTGCAATCTAATGGAGATGACTTCGCTGCTCCCTCAAAGAAGATCAAAAGAAATAGATATTGCTCTGACCTGACTAACGTGACCAGGTCTCCAGCTCTCTCACCCTCAATCAATGAGCTGAGATCAAGAGCATTCTTTGAAGAAGAGACCCCCAGTGAGAAGATGGCTTTCTGCTATGTCTCAGAAAACCCATTTGAGGATGAGAACTCACTCAGCTTCCTAAACTTAGGTATTTAACTTTGCTACTGAATAAACAACTTTTAGAATCCAATAGTATTGATGAACAGGAAAACGACCCCAATTCACAGGATAGCAACAATTTCTGGTACAGTCAGGACAACTACTAGCCAGGTTAACTACCTCAGAGGGTAGGATGAGTCTGTGAAAAACAGCACGACTCATTGTTAATTTCTCATAAATTCATTTTTTAAATTTTGTCTGGGAGTCAAAAGTAAATTTAAATTTTCTTTTGCGCAATTTTCTTCAACAAATCTGGTCAAACCACGCGGAAGACCCCTTTCTATCCTTCGTAGTTACATTTATAACCACCTGCGATCTTTGGTAGAGTTTTTGAATGGTAGTAAAAGGAAAGAAATTCTACTTTCGGAAATTATGAAATAGGATTGATACTTTCTACCCTCAACAGTCTTTTTCAATAAAAGTTATAAGCAATCTAATGATATCAGGAGCATGTTTATAAGTGCATTCTGGATATTTTAAATACCTTCTATCCTTCTTTGCTCAAGGGGAAGATATAAACAAAAAATTTAAGTTCCTATAAACTGAGAGTTTTAATAATTTTGACTTCTATCTTACTTTTTATGAAAGAAGCCCTGATATATAACTCTTTAAGAGATTTCAAAGATTGGATTTTAGCTAGAGGATTTATTTGAGTTAAATAGTTCAAATACAGGCTCTCAATACTGTAGATCCAATGTAGCAGTTTCCCATCGGAAGAATCTTCATAAAATCAAGGATTTCCTCTAAAACTTCATCTTTGACCTCTTGGGAGACACTAGGATTCTGTACTATGAGGATATCTTTGATTGAAAATGTTAAAAATAGAGTATCAGACTAAACTCTTTAAAGTAGTAAAGACAAGGGCCATAAAATTTTAAACGTGCTCAAGTTATACTATGTCTGCATTTTCCGCGAAACTACATATCTTTTTCTTGTTTATACATCATCTACTAATTTCCCCCAAATCGTTCATAGCTTAACATCAATAAGCGAAACGTCTTCAGGGGTTTTGGGGTTTTGGGGTTTTGGGGTTTTGGGGTTTTGGGG